ATCAACAAATGAAATCTAAACCTAGCTGAAATGAAGCCTCCATCAATGTTCCTATGGTATTTTGAAAAATAATTTAGTTTTACTTTGAAAACATTAACTTTGAGAAAAAATATGGAATTACTAGAACAAATTGTATAAAAGCAAATTTTTTTTTTTATTTTTATAATGTTACCTTTAATTGATAAAAGGGAATATACAAAACACCTTGGCTATCCACATGTGAGGATACTCAAGGGATAGAACCAACAAAAAGACTGAATCAAAATCCTCTTTTAAGAGGTTACAGTGAGGCACAACAACCTAGAAAAATAGGTTGATTCGCAAAATAAGGAAAAACTGAAAAAGGCTAGATGATAACTGTAGCCGCCGCGTCTTTTGCTAGGGAGTTAGCATCCTGATTTGCTTCCCTCCAAGTATGCATCCACACGACTGATGTATTCCTGCAAAGATCATCAATTTCATCAAAGACGTGTGCCAAAGTCCAAGGAGGGGGGGAAGAAGAAGGACTCTGTGCGCAGGTGATGGTGTTCTTGGAGTCTCCCTCCACTACAAGCGAATGCAGATGGAAGGGTTGTGTGAGTTTTAGACCTTCCAGGAGGGCTATTGCTTCAGCCTCCATGGAGTTTTTGTGGCCGATGTGTTTGGAGACTGAGGCCACGAAAGTGCCGAGATGGTCTCTTAGGACAACTCCTATCCCTGACAGGCTTGGGTTGCTGAGAGAGCACCTGTCAAAATTGAGTTTTAAGATGCCCAATGGAGGAGGTTTCCATCGAGAGGTCCTTTGAATGCGCGGTCGATGGAAATGCAGAATATTACTCCAGTCTTGGCTGAAAAACCGAGGCTGGAACTCCGTTAAAGCACTGATGATTGGTTGCCCAAAAGGTGATCATAGACTTGAGCTTGTGGAAAACTTTGAGCCAAGAAGAGAATTCCCCTCCAAAAATTCTGTTGTTGCGCTCAACCCAGATGACCCACAAAGCTGCTGCCACCATGGATTCCCAAAGGAGAATCCCAGCCTTGTGCCAAGGGTAAGGATAAATAGGGGTGATGATGGAGGTTACCAAGGCTGGTAGCACCCATTGCACATTGAACAATTTGAGTATGGATCCCCAAATGTTGTAAGCAAAAAGGCAGTGCAGTAGAAGGTGGTCGTTGGTCTCTTCGGCTTCAAGACACATGACACAACGGTTAGGGATGGGATCCCTCTTCTTTGCAATTGATATACAGTGAGTACTCTCTGGGACAGAGCCAACCAAGTGAAGATCTTGATTTTAGGTGGTACACAAGATATCCATGCCTTGGCTGCGAGTGCATTGGGAGCTAGAGGGAAAGTTGGTGGCAGATTTAGGCTGTGGTAAATGAGGAAACAGAGAAGGTTCCCGTCGGGGGCGGAGACCAAATGATGTGATATTGACCTGAGGGGGGTAGGAAGTGGGATTGCAGTTCTGCCGCGAAGGTGGCAAAGCTATCAATCTCAGGATCCGTGAGGGGCCTTCTGAATGTTGGATTCCATGAGCAAAGTGCTCCGGTCGAAAGCATTTCTTGAGCGACCGAGGCCTCTTGGTTTTTGGCTCGTGAAAAGAGATCGGGGAATCTATCCCGGAGGGGAGTATGGCCCAACCAAAGGTCGTGCCAAAAGAGGATTCAATTCCCTGCTTTCGGGTGAAATCTAATGCGAGCTTTGAAGGCATGGAATGCTGAGCAAATTGACCTCCAAATGCTTGATGACCTCTGATTGGATCTAAAATTCGGCAGCCAAGGGGAGTTCGGTTGATGATATTTATGTCTAAGGATGTCAATCCAAACTGATTATTGAGGGTAGAGAATCTCCAGCTCCATTTGCCCAGCAGCGCCATGTTTTGAGTTCTGAGGTTCTTAATTCCCAGACCTCCCCTGTTCTGGGGCTGCCTTAGTTTATCCCGAGCAATCAAATAAAATTTGCTGCCTGACCTCATAATTTGTTCAATTCTGGAGCTTACAGTGACCGGCATGTGAAAGGTGGACATTTGGTTCATTGGAATATTGGCAAGTGGGGCTTTGATTAAAGTAAGCCTTCCTCACAGAGAGAGAAAGCGCCCTTTCCAGCCTGCCAATCTGTGGTCCACTTTGTCCACTATGTGGGACCAAAGTCTCTTTCTGGGTTTGCCTAAGCAAAGAGGAAGACTTAGGTATTTGGAGGGAAAAGTCTATACCCCACAGCCCCAGCAATTGGCAAACTCCGAGAGGATAGTAGGGTCGACATTGACCCCTAGCATCTTGGTTTTCTCAAAGTTTACTTTGAAGCCAGTTGCGAAGTCGAAGCACCTTAGAAAAACGAAAAGGTTTCTGACTTCTGCGTGGTCAACATTGTAGAACACTAAGGTGTCATCTGCGTATTGTAAGTGGGTAACAATGGGGGCCTGTGGATCGACTGAGAAGCCATGAAGGCATCTTGCCGAATATATCCTAGAGTTGTACCCTACTGAATACCCCTGCCGCTATGGGAAAAAGGAAGGGGGAGAGTGTGTCTCCATGTATGAGGCCTATAGTAGAGAGGAAGTAGCCTTTGGGGGTTTGATTAATGATGATGGAGAAGTGAGGATGGGAGTAACATGCTTTCATCCAATTCCTCCACGTACTTTCAAATCTCCCTTGATTGAGTCTCTTCGAGTATGACCCAATCTACATGGTCGGAGGCCTTTTCCCAGTCGAGTTTGGCTAGGATGCCAGGTACTCTAGCCAAGTGTCTGGAATGGATGCATTCATGGGCCACAAGTGCCCCGTCCAAGATTTGCCTATCGTTAATAAAGGCACTTTGAGTGGTAGAAATTAGGACCTCTTTCAGTCGGGACGCTAAAACTTTGGCAAGGATCTTATAGGTGGAGTTAACTAGGCTGATGGGGTGAAAGTCTTTGAGTTGGGTGGCCCATTCGATCTTGGGAATAAGTGAGATAAAAGTGGCGTTCATAGCCTTATGAATTACCCCCTTGGAATGGAATTCATTGAAGAAGTTGAGGAAGTCTTCTCTAAAGGAGACCCAAAACTGTTTGAAGGGGGCGACGGGAAAGCCATCGGGACCGGGGGCTTTGTTTGTATCCTAATCAGAGATGGCAACAACAATTTCTGGTTTTGAGAACGGTCTTTCTAGCCATGAGACTTTGTTTGAAGGCAAAGCTAAGAAGGCTAGGTCCCCCATGGGAGGTCGAGGTCTGGGGGAGCAAAAAAGAGATTTTTGAAGTAGCCAAGGATGGCTTGCTTGATGTCGGGGGGTTGATCTAGCACATTGCTCCCATCAGTATGGTGGGAGATTTAGTTCTCTTCGCCTACAATTGGCCGTTTTATGGAAGAAGCTAGTATTGAGATCACCGGCCTTCAGCCACTTGATCCTAGATCTTTGGTACCAGTAGATCTCCTCTTTCTTAAGGATGGATTGGTAGAGAAGCTTGAGGTGATCCTTTTGAAGAAGTTCAGAGTCCGAGAGAGGTTTTGACTCTTCCATGACATCTAAAGATTGGATTGCCTAGAACGTAGCAGATTTCTGTGGGCCAAGGAAACTTGGTAGGTCCATGCTCCAATTTTTAAGGGAGATCTTCAATAATTGGAGTTTACGCTGGAGTTTAAATCCACCCCAGCCTTCTACCAGATCCGAGAGTGCCAGCAACTAATTCGTGATAAGGTTAAGAAGAGAGGGTTCTTCTAACAAGGTCAATTCAAATCTGAAAGGTTTTGGACTACTGTTAACAAGCTTGGTTTCTAACAGGATTGGGCAGTGGGCAGAGGTAGGTCTGGGAAGAGAGGTAGAATGGCTTCCAGGGAGTGAGGATGCCCAATCAATAGAGATTAGGAATCTGTCTAACTTGGAAAGCGAGGGGTTGACCATGTGAACCTGGGTCCTAGCGAGGGTAAGTCGACTAGGTTATTTAGGGCCACAAAATCAGAGAAGGCTGTCATGGTTGGAGTGATCCTAGAAGAAGAATTCCTTTGGTGGAACCACCTGGTTACATTGAAGTCCCCTCCAATGCGCTACACAGGGTCGGGTAGCTGGGCTACGAGGTTTAACTCCTCCCAAAGAGCAGGTCTGTCTAAATCTACGTTGGGGCCATAGACCACAGAGAATTTCCAAGAAAGACTGTTTGCAATCCTTGTCATCAGGATTGAAATAGAGAATCTCACCAGGTGGGTGGAATTCATGGAGCGGGCTGTGGGATCCCAAATCACCTAGATTCCCCTCAAGGCGCCTTCCGAAGGTTGAGTGGCCCATTGACAAGGTCTGCCCCCCCACATCTGTTAGACCAGAGAAAGAGTGGGGATGGGTAGTTTGGTTTCAGTGAAGGCAAAAACAGTCGGTTTGTGCCTCAAGCTGAGGTCTCTAACTACCTGTTTTTGTTGGGCCTGTCCCAGCCCTCTAATATTCCAAGATAGGATTATCATTGGGGGATAAAAGAGAGAGGGGAGTTCTTAAGGGAACATCTCACCAGCTAGCCACTGGAGGATTGATTTTGTAGGGTGGGAGAGAAAGATTGGTGCGAGGTAGAAGGTTTGTCATAATTAACTGTGCGGGCTAGGTTGGCCAATTCTTGTGATCCCTTCTTGCTTACTCGGATTTTGGCCCGCAGGTCAGACTTGAAAAATTCTTGGAAAGGTTCGTCTAGTCCCACTTGAGGGAAACCTTCATCACGTCTCGAATCTTGCCTTGGCCCTTGTCAATACTGTTGACATAATCCAAATCCACCGAGGGGGGAGACATAGGGTCCCACATAGTGTCCACCGAGAGTAGAGAATCAAAAGAGTCAGAAGGAGATAGAGCAACAGGGGAGGGAAGCGCCGGTAGAACTAGGAAGGCCAAACCATCAGCAACTGTCGGTCTGAAGATGCCCGAAGACAAGCCAAAGGGGTCGTCGATAGGCGAGGAACTCATAGTAGTCGGAGAAGAGGAGGGGTGTAGGTCAGTTGAAGCTTCCATAGAAGTGGGTGCCAGATCGATGACGACCGACTCCAAGTGATTGTGTGAAGGTGAGGAAGAAAGGCAAGTGGGGGGTGCAGTAGTGAAGGCTGCAACTGAAGGCGGAGAAAGAGTTGAAGGTGAAAAGGTGGAAAGAAAGGCAGCGGGGAGGCAAAGAGGGGAAGGTAGTGGGTAAAGATAGGTCCCTGGTGAAGGCTGGGAAAAGAGGGGCGGAGAAAGAAGGTGGGAGAAGAGAAGCAAAGGGGTTAGAATAGGGGTGAGGTAGAGAGAGAATAGGGGGTTGGGATAAGGGAAGGGGACGAGGTGACAAAAGGTGACAGGGACGGAGAGAATGATGGGAGCACCATAGGAGGTGTCTGTCGGGTAGTCCTGGAGCACAGGTGGAAGCGCCATTTCTCGGGGGTCCATGGATTTCGTGGACTTCTCGGCAATCGGAACTCTGGTTCAGGGGATTTCGGCTGTGAGAGATGGTGAGGAATGTAGCCTGCTTCCCTCTCTGAATGAAGATCAATGAGGGGAGGAAAAGAGGGATTGTAGGCATGGATCTCATCGGAAGCTTGATCCAACGGTTTAGAGAAGGCAGCAAGGGGAAGAAGGTATATCAGGCAGGGGATGGTTGTAGAGCGAAATGATGAAGGCGGTGAGTTGACGGGATGGCAGGCATCGAGGGTGGAGGTGATGGTAGATAGCGTGTAGGATGGTGAAAGGCCCCCACAAAGAGGAAGGTGGAGGGATACCGGCAAGGAGCTGAAGAGAATAGGGGATGGGGGTTGTGGTTAGAGAGAACCTTGGGATGGGAGAATCGGGGTTGGTAGGTGGTGTGCATGGGAGGAATTGTCGAAATGGCCCTATGAGATATGGAGGGCTGACAGTTGTGTGGGTTGGTGGGACATACCTGACCCGCAGGCACTTGCGATAGACTCGTGTCCTGACGATCAACTTCTGCAGTCGCCACTCTCGAGACACCAACATGCGAAGCAGGGAGGTCGGGGCCAAGGGTGAGGGCGGAGGATATGGAGGATGAGGGAAGATTGTAGCCAGTGGCGGAGGAGGCATAGTAGGTGGCAGAGTGGGTGTTGAGGGGGGTGGTGGCGAAAGGTGAGGCGGTGGTGGTGCCGAGGGTTGGGGGGGGGGGGGGTGTGTGGGGGGCACTAAGGGACAACAAGCCCTTCGGGGAGGTTGGAAGTTGTGGAATTTGCAGGTCTGTCGATTTCAGGACACCAACGTCTAATGGTTTTGGGCCTCTAGGGGGGAAGCGAAAGAAGGATGCAGAGGTAATGAAGCCTTCCCAAAAGCGAGTGGAGCTACAAAGCGAGGCGATGGAGGGGAGATCGTCGACCTGGATATGAAAATCTTGTAGAAGTTCCAACCACATCGAGCCAAAGGACAGAAGGTATGCTCTGGGGGTCCAGGACGTCTACAATAAGATGGAGAGATCCTAGGGGTAAGCTCTCCATGGATTTCCAGTGCATGGCGATGAAGGAGCCGCAAGCGTTGCCTATGGATTTGAAGCTGTCAAGGCACCATGAATGAAGAGGGATGTCAGAAGCCATAACCCAAACTTTTTGACGACGAAAGGCTTCGACTTTTTCAGAGCACTTGGAGAGGTGAAGAGTAACCCCTTGAACGAGGCAAAGCAGAACTCGTGAGAGGGGAAAGAGCAGAGACCAATGCTGGGAAGGAAAACAGGAAAGACCCATTAGATAGGGGACGACATGTGATACCTGGTTCCTTCCACAGTTCCTTCGCCCATCTCTCGATACCTTTGCAGTCGTTTGGCTGAGGGTGGAAGATACCAATAAGCAAGGATTTCTACTGCTCGACGAGATGAGCAGTAGAGGAAGCAGGGATAGGGATGACAGTTTGGGGCACCATATTCTCATATTATAAAAAAAAACAATTAACAGTGTTAGATCAATCCTAAGGCTGCAAAATTGGACCACAACTATTTTTGTGGTTAGGCTTCGGAATCAGTGAAATTTAACCTTTTGAGGCTCAATTAATGTTTTCAAACTTGAAATTAGAAATTTGAATTCTTTTAAATCCGTGGACATTTGTCAATCTTTTGCAATCTTCTTTATGGATCTAATAGAGGGCTCAAAAGCGCTCGAAGGGCCCGGGGCTTAATACGCCCTATTGGCTAGGAAAAGCCAACTTCTAGAGGGGGTTTTTCCACCAAAATTGATATTACTGTTGGCAATGGCCTGGGCCTTGCCCAAACCTTGACGGGGCTTGCTGGGAGCCTGGGACTAATGGAGAAAACAATTCCAAGAAGGGAAAAACTAGGGTTGGGAAGGCCAGGTTCTAGGCCAAGCCTTGCTTGGGTCTAGTTTTTGGATCAAATTTTGTTTTTCGCGCCTAGATTTTCCTGGGTTGGGCTAATCCATTGCTAGACCTAATCGATATAAGCAAAGTTTGAAAAAACAGGTCGGTAATCAGATCGCCCCACTAGATTACCGATCCGGTTTGGCAGATCGGCGATCCAAAAAAGATTAACAAAAGTTTTAAAAAAGATAGTGGGGTCGGTTTTGGCCAGTTTTGTCAGAGAACCGACCAATTCAACAATTTTAAAAAATTTAAAAATAAAACAAAGTGGAGCTGCTTCGTACTGGTTCTCTTATCGAACCGGGTGGTGGTTTTGGAAGAGAACCAGTACGGACCGGCCGGTTCATGGGGGAACGGGCCGGTTCTTAATGTTGTAGGGGATCTAGATCGGTCAGACTGATTCCTCATCTGGATCGGCTGGTTCCAATCTGGATCACTCGTTTTTTAAGCACTGGATATAAGGTAAAGCAATCGAACTTGACGGGTCTAAGTCCAACAAAGAACATGCCAGTATGCTCCAGTGAACTAGTGGGTTGTTCAAGGTGTCTGGCTCTAGCAAGTAAGGACCTTCTGCAACCACGGTCGTCGGTTCCAAGTGAGTCAAGCGATTCCGTGCCCGAGTCATTAATTTTTTGAACAAGTGCCTTGTTGGGAATTTCATTGTGCATTTAAAATTCACAATTGCACATGTATTTATCATAAATGTTTGCTCAAGTGTGCAAGATTATGTGTTTTCTTTTACATATAACAAGTATTGCAAACATATGCTAGCCATCCATTGACTGTTTTATCAAGGAACTGTGGAGATTACTTGCCGTCCTGCTTTTAAATGCCCTTCTACATTAGGAGAACAACGATTCATCTCCGTCTGTGGATAAATAATGGACATTGGATGGATGGTCTGCGTGACTCCAACTTTGTTTGTTGTTAGCATATGGTCCCTACACATGACCTTTGTATGTATCACTATGCAGTATGTATATATACACATGTTATGGAATTATTTCTCTGCAATATATGCATATTTTCATTCTTCCTCTCATGTAGTTTGTGTGAATGAGAAATAGTTTAAATTGAAGTGTATCCATGTTTTTTGTGATGTTCAATTGAGATACCATTTTTCTCCTGTGGCTTTTATAGTGCGATCTGGATCCACTACTTATTAATTTTCTTTTTCTGTATTACACTATTGTTTTTTGCTTGATTGTGTCCTTACAGTTTAATTTCTGATCTGTCGATTAGGTGTTCTAATGGCATCTCTGCTTTTATAGGTGGTTATTGAAGTATTGATTCCTTCATCGATGGTTGTTCTACCAAGTTTGCCTGTCGAGGCTATGATTGGAACCCATCTTCCAGCTGCTGTGACTATGAGAACGCTAAATGGTATTTAAGTATATATTAATATTTTATATCTCAAAAAAAGAAAGGGCATAAGCTAATCTAATATAGGAGTTTACTTTCTGTCCCGTGCTTTTTCCAATTCCATTGCATCCCACTCCCAAGTCCTTATCAGCTGTATGTTTTGGCAACTGCAGGTGAAGGGTACCATAAATGTGATGCTTTTAGTTCTGCCATCAGGTGGCAAGTTTCTAGTGGAGCAGAGGTTTTTCAAATTGTCAATTCATCGAACCATGCACATGTCTTGAGCTTGCTACCATATGTGCAGGATTCCAGTTTTCTTGATGCTTCGCTTTGTGCATGGACCCTACTGTATGCTTCCAAACCTGGGAGAGCAACACTTCATGCAATTTTCTCCAAAGAATTTCAGCCTTCTGAAATTCAGTCTTCCTTGGATAAGCTTCTTAATCTAAAAGCATCAACTATTATCGCTGCATATTCTCCACTTGTTGCTCTACAGGCAGGAGATGGGAACCAATTTGGTGGTTACAAGGTTGAGGATAAAAGCCAGTCTTCTTTGGATGAGCTTTACCTTGTTCCAGGGACAGGAATCGATATATTTCTTGTTGGAGGGCCTGAAAGGTGGCATCCAGGGATAGATCTCATTGAGTCTGTTGATATCATTACTGAACAGAGCGAAACACCTCCTATAAAAGATGTAGTAGTTGCTAAGAAGGCATCTAGCCCTGGTCAAAGTTTGTATAGAATTTTCTGCCAAACCCTGGGAAAGTTTGTGAGTTATTTGATTCCCCATATTGTCAATATTAAACTTATTTTCACTCTTGGACTACTGGGTAGATTCCCTTTGAATCAAGTTCTTTTGTCCATCTACTGAATCTTTCTTTTTTTTTTCTTTCCTTCTGTAAGTAATGTATGTACGGAAATTTGGATTGAGCACACTTCTTTTCCTGAAACAGAAGCTATTCTTCTCACGTGGGAACTCAGTTGAGGAATATCATCCTTTTCCAGCCTTTGCAAACGTGGAAGTTTCTCTCTTTTGTAGCTTTCCTTCTTCAATCATCTTGATTGTCAATGAACCAGGTTTGTTTTTCCTAGCCTTTATACTGTCTTTGGATTTGTTGGTTTTACCATTTTGACTTTCTTGCAAGTTGTTTTTCATATCTAATTGATATATTTTCTTGCCTGTTCTAAAGCAAACTTGCCTGACCTTATATGGTCCGCAACTCAGGCTGCTCGTGGTCCTGGCAGAATCCGTGTCTCACCTATCACTGTGATGAATGGCTGCACTATTCGGTTGGCTGCTGTTAGCATTCACAAATCTGGGAAGCCTTTTGCGAACTCATCTTCGCTATCACTGAATTGGGAGCTTAGCAGCTGTGATAAACTGGCATATTGGGAGGAAAATAGTAGCAGTTCAGAAAGATTCAAAACCACTTGGGAGAGGTTCTTGGTTTTGCAAAATGAGTCTGGATTGGTAAACAAATTCTTGCAATTTGCATTCATCTAGAATATATAGTATACTTTGAATGGTTAGAATCTAAGTGAAAACATATTACCTGTACTACTTTCAGTGCATGGTGCGAGCTACTGTGGTTGGTATTTCTGAAGCTATTTCTGAAGCCGCAACTGGGATGCTTTTTCTAAAAGTATCTGAACTTCTAGAAAGTGCAGAAAATAGACTTGCAGATGCTGTTCAACTACAGGTATTATATCATCTTTTTAGACGATTTGGCTTTCACATTTATATTGTATTCATGCAGATCTTCCTTATTCCTGTTTTAGACTAATTGTTTACTGTTTGATGGTGTGTTTCAGCTGGTTTCTTCACTGAGGATTGTTCCAGAGTCTATCTTGTTGTTTTTTCACCCAGATGCAAAGGTACCCCAATCCTCAGATGATTCAGATTCTCTCTCTTGGCCTCTTCCTCAATAACCTTCAACTTATATAACTGAAGTGTGGTTGAGTTCGTTCAACCACCTTTTTAAGATGCACCCAAGAGACATGTTTCTTGTAGACATTTAAGTGAACTTCGATTGCTTGTGTAAACACAGCAGTCAATTGTTAAACTTGGTAAAATAACAGGGAATAAACAACAGGGAAATTGCTAGAGTGTTGATAATTAAAGTTTCACAAATGCTTATAAATGGCAACGAAAGGCACGGCAGTAGAAGAAACCAATGCTTCAGAAATTCAAATCGGTGATAAGCTCAACCCAAAGACCCATGAAATGTTGGCAAATGAAGAAAGAGAAAGCAAAACAAGTCAGGGGAGAGCAAAATGGAAGGACTGGTGAGAAAACAATAGAAAACTGCAGTGGCAAAAAGCTCTGCAAATGAGGAAACTTAACAGGACAGAAAGAATATATCAGTAAAAGGGTAAAGGGAACAAAATGCAATTTATCAAATAATACTGGCACTGAACGGAAAACCAGTAATAGAACTACTATGAATCATGTGAAGAAATAGTTCGTGTAATAATCATTTAAGGATGAGGTTTTGGTAAGGCATCAACTATGTACAGTCACACCTCAAAATCTCACAAAAAAACTTGTATCCAGTGCCAGTGAGATGGCATGCAAATCTATTTCTGCCACTTACTGTAAAATTTGGAGCTCCAAACATGGTGCAAATCCGGCAGATCTATGGAGACTTGAAATAGACTATCCATAAAAAATGTTGCAAGATGACCATTTTTAGAACTTAAATCGACATTTTTCAGTCCATGTTCATTGAGGTGGAGATGATGGATTAACAGAGTTTCAGCACAGGGACTCATTTTTCCCGTGAGATTTGGGCTGCCGCTATATACAGCAATGTCCTTGCAACTTTGTGACACTTTTCCATCATTTAATTCACTTCTATAATTTACAATTTGCCTTTATTCCTTCTTGGCTGGGTGCTTATATCGCCGTCGCTTTACAAAACACTTTTACATCATTAAATTTCACCCATATAATGTTGGAATTTAAAAGTAATCCTTCTGAAAAAGGCATTGTCTGAAATGCATTCACCAAGAAATTTTCTGGGTTCTTGTTTGAAACTCTTCCTGTTTCATATTAGGCTCTATATTTGTTCTACCATTCAAGCTTCAGAGTTCTATGTTTGTTGCCTAGACATCCTGAACAGGTATCTTGCATATATAAACGTGACGCAACATCTTTTGGTGACAAACGAAATGCTATCTCGAGGCTCAGTCTTGTTTTATTGTGTCCACAAGTACGCTTAGTTTTACGAAGACCAAATTTCTCATGATTCAGTTGGGTTTTTCAGGACAGCAAGCGTCAATTGGGTGTTTAAGTGTGCCTTTTTTTTTCTTTTAAAAAAAATCTAGACTTGTCCGTGTAGCTCTTTTTATGAAAACTGTCTTTACTCATGCCATTTTCTGCGTTTTGTGCGTTCAGTGAAGAATTTACTACTACTTTTACTGGATTACATTCTCAACATATGTGAACCAGCTTGTGGAAAGCACATCTTTTCTTGACACCTTAATTAAATATGTATGGTATATTATGTTAGTTAAAATAAGGTTGATCTTTGCTAAATGCACTACTGTGCATATCTGCGATGTTTGATGTTCCTGCTTCTCTCTGGTCTGCTTCTTAACTTTTAGAACATTTAATTTAGGAGAGCAGTTCATAGCTCTTTGTCTCTTGCATGTCAAGCAAGTTATATGTCCTTTAAAATGTGAAGTATGCTATTTTTTTCTTGACATTCTATTTGGCCCTTTCTTATTTTCTTCCTTTTTCCTGTGTAAATAAAGGATTTGACACTATTTGCTTTTTCTTCTTTTATCTTTATTAGGTTAGATTGTCTATTTTGGGGGGAACCTGCGATGTGGTTCCTGTTTTGAATGTTAGCAATGTGGTACAAGTTATCCAAGAGGAACAAAGTCCTTCATGCAAGCATTTGATGTTGGGTGCTAGAGGATTGGGCTCTGCAGTCGTCACTGTGAGAGATGTTGGGCTTTCTCCTCCCGTAACAGCTTCTGCCTTGGTAATCTCCCTCCTTTCTGTCATCCATTTTTTCTAATTTGATGTTTTGTAATGTTGTTAATGCCGGAAAATTTTGACTTCTTGATGTAGATAATCAAAGATGTGGCTATATGGAACTCAATGTTATAAATTTTAAAAAGATTTCTTCTCTTCTTTGTTATTAAATCGTAATTCCACTTATAAGTGCCACAATGTACTGCTGCACATGAAAATTAAAACCTAAATACAACCTAGGATCTTTTTTTTTACTGCCAAAATCAAAAGACAAAACTTGAATAAAAACTAAACTTCTACTATCAATTTTAACACAAATAATGTTCCTGGAAATTCAGAATAAATATGCAAATTTAATTGAAAAAAATAAATTAAATAGCTGGGAAGACTTATTGGATTATGCCTAGGGTCATCCACACAAGACTTAGTACGAACCATTGTTTGATTTCCTAATTGATGGCGCACTTTGATCCTATTGGTCTTGTTAGAATTTCAGTGTAGGGAAGCTTCCTTAGGCAATACCTCTTAAACTAAGGTTTTAGAGAGCATATAAACACAATTAAAACATGCCTCAAAAGGAAAGGCACCTCCCCTTTTCTAGGGTTAGACTAGTTGTCTTCCTAGGAAACCCTAATTTGGGCTAAGTGTGCCCCCCTCTTTAATTTGCTTGTGGGTGGCGTACCACTAATGCTATGAGATCAAAGAGAGATGGGCATGAGAGAGAGAGAGAGAGAGAGAGAGAGAGAGAGAGCGAGCGTGTGTTAAGGCATGGAGGAGAGAGAGTATTAGTAGAGAGAGGCTCCAAAAATTATTTTATGAGAGTGGATACAAGGAGGTCTATATAGACCTTAAGGCCCCCTAGGTATGCATGTCCAATGACTCACCTTGACCAACGGGAACTTAGGAAATTTGTGTGGTGAGAGAATAAAACAAAGCCATCCATCCCACGAATTAGTCGTCATGATTTTGGCAGGCATGTTATGAATTGTATCCCCTTAATATTTGACGCGTATCCACTTCTAGTTTAATTAGGATTAAACCAATTTAAAAACCTTCTAGAACTTTTTTTTATTATCTTTAGAATTATAAGAAATGGGAGTAATATAATGTTGATCAAATCCAACTCCCACAAAATAAAACACACCGTCTTTCTTTAAAAAGATTATGTTTAACTAACTTAAAAACATCTCTTTTTTGAAGACAAACTAACTTAAAAACATCTTTAATTAAAATACAACAAAGCATAAAAAGAGAAGGGGGCATGCCACGCATGTGGGACATGTGGGCCCCCATTGGCCCCCCTGCCCCACCCATCGGATGTGGCACACATGTGGGGCTGAATCCAAGGGCTCCACATGTGCCCTTCCTCACAAAATTTCAAAACTACCCGCTTTCGAGAAAAATATAATAGAAATAATTTTAAAGTTCTAGAAAAAAATTCTGGAATTCTCAAAAACAAATCTAATACCGAATAAAATATCTAGAAGTGGATTGGTACCAAATGGATCAAAGTTAGTAACTAAAAGAGCACTCCACTTGACCTAGTGATTGTGATCCACAATTTTCTTCTCAAACCGACCTAATGAAACCCATGACCCACTGTCTCATGTTGGGTGATCAACCGGTATTTTATTAAGAAAAATTCAGAAAAATGTATATAAATTCTAAAAAATAAGGAATTTGATTTTTAATGCTTTTTTAAATATTCTTTACATTATGGTAAAGACTAAAAAATTTTTTGGTCATTAATACTCACTTTTATATTTTCCCATCGTTTTTAGAAAATTTTAAAAATAGCCCTTGGAAAATATAAAATGGGTTAAAATCCATTTTTTTCATTAATTTTCAACTTCATTTGAATGTTTTTTGTTTTAATTATTCTTTATATGCTTTTCATATTTTAGTAGATTTTTTTTGTTTTGTTTTTTTTTTTCTTACACTTTTTTGACCGCCTGGGACTTGCCCAGTTAGAGCGGTTGAATCGGCCGGTTTACCGGTTAGGCCGGTTAAACAGCTTCAGGGCCCATGTCCGGTTAACCATTCTGGTTCGATTTTGCGAACACTGAGTCAAGCACATATCACTATAGTGCAAGGGCAACTCCCTTTATGCGCGTGTACATGTATCCCTCTTCAGGGTTGCTTCCCGCTAATGTGATCATCATATGTATTTGCCGTTTGGAAGTTTGTTGAGGATTTGTCCTTGTTCTCATAAGCCTATATCCGTACACAATATACCACATAGCTCTCCTGGCCTGCAAACCATCCCTAAGCATCTCTCCAACCTCAACAAGGGATGACCTGTTATACACCCTTTTTAGTGCCACATGCTCAAGAGAAAGGATTTTGGACATGACGAGGGCCATAAACCACCTAACCTTTGGGCATAAGCATCACACACTCCTACTGAAGTGTATGATCTATGATCAACTATAAGTATATTTTACATGCTCTCATGGCCTTTTGGAGGCTACAAATCCCAACAGATAGTTGTTCAATATGAATGTTTTGAGTAGGAAGAAAATGTTGCGAGTATTTCTTGAAAATTTGATCCTTGAAGCTCTCCCACTTACCTTGTTCATGATTGTTACATGTATTTTTCTAATTCAATTTGATATCATATGTCATATTTAACGAATCTTGTACCTGTTAATTTTATTGGCATAGTTTCTTTTCATTTAGTTCTTACTGCAGTGATATGTCTCAAGTAACGCTATATCCAAACTTTTACTGGATTTTTGTATTTATGCCTATTATTTTTGTACTCAAGTGTATTAGGCATAGCAGGTTTGAACGCTGACATGTTTTTTTAAGTTAATCAATCCTGCAGTCATTGTCATACCCTATCTTCTGTTTGATATTTTGTGTTATACTCAAGTTGCATGATATGCAGGTTCGTGTCGCGAGTCTGGATTGGATTAAAATTCTTCTACCCGAAGAGATAAGCCTTCTGGTTAGTTGATTGGTTTAATACACATTGTATTTCACTAGAATGCTAGCATCCGTGATGAATTTTCTTTGATGTGATTCATGCTATTGTGTGTAGGTTGGCACTAGAAAGACCATCAATCTTGAGGCTGGGACAGATGATGGAACTGTATTCGACCCTTCACAGGTTAGCTAGTTTGTAAATGATCTACGGTGCCATATAAGCTTGTTTGTAAATGCTCTATAGTGCCATGTAATTGTTTTTTTCTATTTTTGGTAGCTCTGTTGAGCATATTCCTTACCTATTAGATGCCTAGGAGTTGTGGATTTGCCTATTTCATGTCAGGCTGATAATCCATTTCTTTCTTGAAGTATTCCTACATGAACATCCGTGTGCATCTAGAGGATGGGCTGCTGGAGCTTGTTAGTGATGATGAATTTCCAAGCTCTGATGCAAATAAAATTGTGGGTCCGAGTTTTGTTGTTTATGCTGTCACACTTGGGATGACTACTTTACATGTAAGCTTATATGTTGACTACGCTTTCTTTTCACCTTTCAATAAGAGACTCATTCTTATTGCATATTTTTCTTATTTGCTCTCTCTCTCACACTCTCTCTCTCCCTCTCTGTGTGTGTGTGTGTGTGTGCACGCGCGTGCACGCACGCACGCACCGGCACAGGTTCGTGTATATTTGCTTCTGCTCTAGTTCTTGTGTGTCCATTTGGTATGTGCAGCTGTGCAGGTGCATGTATAAATGATATTGTTCTAATTCTTGCATTTTTCATGTCTGTGTGCCTGTGCCTGCTTATTTATATTTCAGCCATTTACATTCGATGTCTCATAAGAATTTGATATTTTCAGGTCAGTGCTCGGCTATCATCTGGGCGTGATGTCCTAAGTCAAACTATCAAGGTGGAGGTTTATGCTCCATTGAGGATTAATCCAAGGGATGTGTTTCTTGTTCCCGGTGCATCGTATGTGGTATGTATGGGACTAGTATAATTCTTGACCTTGTCCTGAATCCCTTGATGTGCCATTGCCATGCATTTCTAATGATTTTACTAATGATGACAATTGTTCTATTATGCAATAGTATTGCCATTTGTTTGATGATATGATGCAGGAAGGAAAGATGGGAAATTAAATCTACCATTTTCCTGAACCTTAAACAATTAAAATCAGCAATATTGGGTGAAGAACATGTCAGCAAATCAAGCCAAGAGAAGAAGAACTCTATTTATTCATAAAATAAAATTTATTTCAATAACATATGCCTCCCATAATATGACATCCAACCTTTTATAAGCTTATGAAACCTTAATTAGCTTGAGATCCAAATAAATATTTAAGACTCTAAAATACCCTTACAACAATATAAAACTTCCAAAAATACCAATGTAAACAGTAGAGCGTGAACAGTTACTGTAAAGTAATGTGTGAACAGTAACTGTGAATAGTACCATGAATAGTAACCCTGTGGATTGCTCAAGGATTCAAACTTCCTTATCTTTCTTCCCCCCTCCTCTCTCTCTCTCTCTCTAAAATTATCCCTAGATTAAAAAAAAATAGTACCATGAATAGTACTTATGAATAGCAAATAAAAAAATATAAGACTTAAAATATTTAAAATAAATCCTAAAACTACAATCAAAATATGCAACCTTTAAAATTGAATTGAAGTTAAAAATAAGTATAATTTTACCCTCCATCATGATCTATGTGATGGCTTCTTCCTTTTTTCATTCTTGGTCTCAGATATGCATTGGAAGTTTGGAATTTGATACAGGTTTTGGTGGTTAGAAACATGTCAAATTAGTGAAATCTCTAAAATTGCTAACATAGTATGCTTGTTTTATGTGGTGTTTTAAAACCTAGAACCATGTCGGGCTCTAAAAGGGCAAGACCGAGTTGGCTTGGTGTGTTCGCTCCTGGTTGAGAAAAGGGAGGGAAAAAAATAATACAAATTGGCCAAAAGATGGGAAAACAATGAAATTTGAGGAAAGTTAAAAGAAATATTGTACGCATATGGAGGAAAATAAAATGAGGGTAATTGATGCACATATTTTTACTTTTTGAGAGAGAGGGTTCCAAGTAAAAAATCCAAAAAATAAAATGTGATAATTGAAACACCCGTGTCTTGTCGGTGTCCAAGAAACATGGGTATTCCAATTACCCTTATTTTATCTTTAGGATTTTTAAAAATAAAATGGCAAAATATGTTATTCAAACCCCATGTATTTTAGCTTATTTTAGAAGGCACCCATGAAATATTGGTGTTTCCATTACCCTTTTTCATTTTTAAGAGTTCAAAAAAAGGTGAAATACAAGTAATCAATATGCTTGTATTTCACTGTTTTTAAAAGGCTCCCATGAATTATGGATATTTCAATTACCATTTTTCATTCTTAAGCGTTGTTTTAAACATGATCTGTGCAAGAGGGCTCGCATTGTCTTTTGGCCCTCTTGGAAAAAAACAAAGAAGCCAGAAATGTGCTGCGATTTTTTTCCATTTTTGCTTTGTTTTTTTTGAGGGGGGCGGGGGAGTGGTGGGAGTATATCTTATTTTATACATGGATATATAATGCCTAAAAAGACAAATTTGATGGTTTTCTTTCTTTCAAAAGCCTTGAAATTTATATTATAATGTAAAGAATTGTATTTTTATTCTTAAGTTTAGCGTAACAATTAATACCTTTAATACTATAACCTATGCTGATTGAACACTAGATAAATTATTAGCTTTCAATACTCTGAAGTTCCCATTGCTCCTTGTGCTCTCCTTGAGAAAAGGTGTTTTCCATGTTTCCGAATATCATTTTGTAATATGAAATTCACTTAATTTCGTTTAGACATCTTATAACTCATATGTAGAGGACAACGATGTTATATGTTATGGGGCACAAACTGTAATCATCATTAGCATAATTCAATCCTTATTCCAGCTATTTGAGGTCAGCTACACGATTCTTGTTCTATCATTCTGCTCTATCCAGTAATTCAAAAAGCAAACCGCTTAGCGCCTAGGCGGCAGTCCTTGGGCGGCAGGCGCCCAGCCCAGGGAGGTCGCCCAAGGCCTGTGCCCCACCAAGGGCGGAATTTGTTTTTTTCAAAGTTGATAAAAATTGATCAAAACATCATCCATTGATATTAGATATAATTTTTGATGTTTTGTAAATCTATTGGGGGGTTTTTTAGAAGATTTTGAGGCCTTAGAAGCATATTTGACTAGGCATCCTTTTTGGATTCGACTGGGCCGCCCAGGTTTTGGGCGCCCACCTAGGTCCTAGGTGCTGGGTGGCCTCGACCCCTCAGGCCGCCTAGGACCCACCAAACGCTTTTTGAAACTATGGCTCTATCAAAGGTCTTACTCTCATTCGATTCATAATTCACTATATCTTTTCTCACTACTTCTATTCATGTTCTTTGGGCCTTTCCTTTGTCCTTTTAGAGCCTTCCACTTGAACCAAATCACCCCTCCTAACTAGTGTTGTTTTAGGTCGACGCTTTACATGACTAGACAATATATTTTCTCTCATTTTATCGCCTATTGGAGCTATCCCGATTTAATATGGAATAGATTATAATGCATATTAAATTATGAATGACTGTACAAGATAATACATTGATTAGCAGAAGTTATACCCTCTATAGATACTCATAATTGGCATTGGTCACTTCTGTATGATAAGTTATTTGAAGTAATTACCCATTTTCTAGAACATATGCAGTTCCTCCTGTATCTCTCAAGAATGACAATTCCATCTCATTAGAAAAAGATATCATTGCAACATGGAATTGAGTACCAATTTGCATCATGAATTCAAGGAACTTCTGCTTAAAGGAGTCATGCTTGTTCCATTAGAGGTTTTTGGCAAGGGGCATAGCTCATAGATGATGGCTCTTAACTTCCTTCCTTGTTGGTAAAGGTTTCAATATGGGTCTAGTTAATTTGCTTTCCTCTACGTCATCCAGATCTTATTTTTATTGCATCTTGAATTAAAGTGGCTTCTTCTCTCTTGACTAGAAAGTCATTGAACTGAAGTTTCAGCCGATGGAAGCATAGAATTACTAACCATTTTATATTGTAGCTTATACTATCTTCTAACATGACAGTTGTGCTTTTGTTTTTTTTGTTTTTTTGGGTTAATGTTTACTGTTAAATGCCTAGATGAAGAGCATGCCTTCAATTTTTTGGATTACCTCTTGTACTCTGGCCTGCTCATCTTCTCCCCTTGCATATAATGGTGATTGGAATTCTAATAGCCCATTTTGCAGCTTGCTGTGACAGGGGGCCCAGGGACTGGAAATGTTGAGTATGCTAGTATGGATGAAACCACTGCAACTGTTCAGAGATCATCTGGACAACTCTTGGCAGTTTCACCAGGAAATACTGTATGTAAAACCAAACTGCAGTATTTACAAATCGGATCCTTCATTTGGATCCTTCATTTCTTGGCTTTGTTTATTGCCAAAATTTAGATTGCCCGTTTTGGGGGGTTTGCTATATCTTATTGGTATTCTATCTAGAAACATGGGTGGGAATATCAAATTGGCTGATCCCACCTATATATATATATATATATAGGTACTTTTAGCAAAAATAGCAATTATTCATTTTATTCCTGTTGAGAATCTTTCATTTGGTCAAGATCAAGGTTCAATTTTCTAAATAGATTCCCCCCACTTTCATTGGTGTGTGCTATGGATCTAAAGATGGGTTTTTTATCTGTTGTTATCAGAGCATACGTGCTGCCATTTATGATAGTGGCAGCGCTTTATTATGTGAAGCATATGGAACAGTGAACGTGGGAATCCCTTCTTCAATGTATATTAATTTTCAAAGTGAACAGCTGGCTGTTGGCCGTGAAATGTCAATATACCCTACGTCATCTTATGTGAGCTCTTTTTCTTCATGTCTGTAATTAGCCTGAATCTAGTGATTGGAGTTGACACAAAGAGCTTCAGTACTATTGATCCATATCTTCTTCTTCTTCTTCTGCTACTTCCTTTTTTTTTAGGTCCCCATTAGTTCAATTATTAATTCTGAGTTTTTACATGTGAGAAATTAACATATAAATTGGAAATTCAGGGTGACTTATTTTCATTCTACGAGCTTTGCAAGGGGTACAAATGGATGATAGAAGATGAGCAGGTTATTTTTTTTTCCTTGGCAGGATACTTCAACGCTTGTTGCCCATGTTTTCTGTTGTTTACTTCCATGTCGGCATATATAAAGTCCATTTGGTGTCCCAATATATATGCAGAATAATATTCTCTCCCATTATATGCCAGGTACTAGGTTTCCAGATGAGTAAATTGCTACAGAATGATAAGCATGAGGCTTCTTTTTCAAGTCCCACAGACAAGGGTTTTATTTTCTATTCGGATAGCGATGATATGGGTTTTATAAATACAGTATATGGAAGGTGAGATGTTTAGTTTTGTACATAACATATTGTGTTTTAGATTTAATGAAAACATCACCTGATACGGTGTGTGTTATGGTATTTTTGTCGAAGTGAAGGAGTTATTTGTATACATTAAATGTTTATCCTATTCCTAGGAGATCTGACCTGATGGCCATCACTTTGACAACGTACTCGGACATGGGTTCCTTAAATCTCATGTCACCTTAGTGAGTTGTCTACCTTTGCTTCATTTCTTCATCACCCCTTAACGTATTGATTGACAGAAACGAACATCCATGGGATCCCTTCAGCAAGCATCTTACCACAAAAACAGAGGTCCTAACTTGGATGCTCGATAAACCTGTGCCCGCTGCTATTAGACATCTTAAGTGGATTATAAATGCTTATCGAACAATTCATGCGCTCCTTAAAATATCCATCTCTTTCCATTCTTGCATCACACCTTCAACATGCCTGTAGGATGGATATTTGTGAACGCATAGACACACCTAGCTTTTTTGCCACACAAATTGGTATACATTGTTACTTGGGTATGGTACAGCATAGCTATGAAAATATACTTTCTGGTTTTACCTCGTGTTAGGCTCCCAAAACATCTGTTGGCCCGCATATAACACAGGCTGCAAAATGAGAAAGTGCTGCACAAGCTACCAAATTGGCATGACCAACATTGCCACAATATGTGATAAAAAATTAAAAAGTGCATGAATCTTATCTATTCACTGTTGGTTCTTGATACCTACCGGTCTTCCCTTAAGTGCCACTATCATCATGTGTGTTTTGGCACGCCCAAGCAAATTACTAGGGTCTCTCTTGAAAGCACCCTTAATATTCATACATTCATTCTAAATTCATCAAATTTAACCTGAGATCTAGGTCCATTCTGTCTTCATTTGCAACCATGATTTTGAGCAGCATGCTTTTGGATCAATAATGACATCTAAAATGAAATCCTTGGCAGCAAACCTTCTAGTCACTTGTGTTTTGGCAACTTGTATCATCTTTCTGAAGTTTCTTTTAATATGGACTCCCAATAATGATAAAACAATACCAGCATGAATTGGCAAAAGTTTCAAACCAAATTTCGGTATCTTGGTGCAATTGTATATTATTGATCCCCAAAACTGAACGTAAAAAGAAAACTAATCGGGTTGTCTTCGATTCCTATCAATGAACTCCCCAAAAAGATAATAATAATGATAATAATAATAATAATAATAATAATAATAATTGGGGTGTCTTTTGCACTACGAAAGAAGCTGTCATTCATGTTTTTATTTCCAGGATTCTTTTGCAGTATGCAATTCTTTTCTTGGAGTTTTTCTGCAGTCTGATATTAAATTGATTATCATTGTAGAAATGGTCTTTGAAGTGAATGAATGAATTTAAGGGGCTATAAGTATATATATATATATATATATACCCTTCATATCATGTCCCCATGATGGTTGATTACACATGGGTTGGTGCAAGTTTGGTTTCACACTAATTGTCCATATGGATCAGTGTAATTTGTAGTATGAAGGTCATTCTTGGGTACTGCATTGCTGGACTCATGGTTTCTTTATGCTTTACATTGCCCTGTTATCTACAATGCACTCATATCTGAAAACTTTGTGCCTTCAGCGGTTCTTACTTACACAGAAATAAGTGCGTAGAACTGCTATCGTTTCATCCATTCAGTTCTCCATCTTGTTGCTCTAATAAGCTCTTTTGCTGCACCAGGTTCCCAGGGAGAACAAAGGTCAATGTCTCATTTTCATGTGATTTTGTTTATTCGGGTCATATTTCACATACAGTAAATTATAATGCATCAGAAGTGTTATGGGTCATTGCTGATCCTCCCCTATCTCTTGGAATTCCTATTACCTGGGTCCTTCCACCTTTCTATACATCCTCGACTGAATTGCCTATGTCATCAGAAGCTTCCTCTCATATGGACTCGCGGAGCCGGAAAGGAAATATTGTGTACTCAGTATTAAAGTCCTGCTGTAAGAAACAGGGTACTATGGAACAGGATTCAATTACTATCAATAGAGGGCGTGTGGTGACTATGGGCAGTAACGTTATTAACTGCATTCAAGCAAAAGACCGTTTAAGTGGACGAATTGAAATTGCTTCTTGTGTAAGAGTTGCTGAGGTATGATATTTTACTTTATATCCTATGGCTGTAAATCAGCTGGAGTGTTAAAAAAAAGTCCCAACATACCTATTCTAATCTTCAGGTTGCTATATAATTCTGTTAGATAAATTATTTGTCATTATTGTCCTTGTGATATCTCTGAAAACAGAGCTTGCAAAAACTTTAGATCATTAATCCGGTTCTGTGAGATGGACAATTAGTTGTTGAATTTTATAGTGCTAGTGGATTGCTATTAGCCTATTAGATTTAAGCATGAGGAGGTTTTCTTTTTCAAGCAGGTAGCCCAAGTAAGAATAAATATTGAAGAGTTCCCTTCTCATATCATCAACCTTGCTGTTGGTGCAAGTCAGAAATTAGCAGTAAACTATCATGATTCTCTTGGTATGTATACAGCCCCTTATGCCTGAACCTCCTTTAAAGCTGAGTTGGGTTTATCGTTTCACTTATCCCATGTTTTTGTTTTCTCTGCGTATATTTATATGTACATAGGCATCCCCTTCTTTGAAGCCGGTGCTGTTCCATTATCCATTGATACCAATCATCCAGATGTAGTGTCCATTTTAAATCTCAATGAGGAAAACTACACACTCAGTAACATTCAAAGTATTCATTTGAAGGTTTGTGGTGGCGTTTTTCACGTATGTTGGTCCCTCTTTCGTGGTAAGGGTGGAACAATATCTCTAGGAGACATGTTAACTAAACGACGAAGCGGTTTCAATATGCTTTTGCATTATATGACTTTTGATCTAGAAAGCAAAGCACACACATACTCACCCATTTGCCAGTTATCTGATTGTTTATTTCCTTAATTTTAAGTGCTTCCTCTAAAGCTTCGCTACCTTGTTTTCTGACTGTTTCTTTCCTGTAGGCTTTGCATTATGGGAGAGCACTTGTGCGCATATCAATCAACAACAATCCAAAGGTGTCAGCTTATGTTTTGGTATGGTCTCTGCCGTCTCTTGACTTCTTGCCTTGTGTAATATTATAATGCCTAAGCTGTATCAGAACTGTCTATTTTCAGGTGTCAGTGGGTGCCTACATCAGCCCCCAGAATCCAGTCCTCCAAGTTGGATGTCATGTTAACTTCACCATTATTGGAAAAGGTAGAACATGCCTTTAGTATTTTCAACACTGAATTGTGGTAGACATCTGAGCTAACTAAGTTCAAGGTTTATATGCAAATTATTTTAATCATTGTGAAAATTAAGGGATCAATGTGCACATGAGAATCTTTCATCCTTAATCCCAAAAGGCATTCAATTCAACATCTGCAATAAGTTCTCGACAGTTGTACTTTCCTCTTGATAAGTGCTTCTTTGCAGAAACTGCTGATGTAGAAGGGGGTCAATGGTTGAGTGCCAATGAAAGCATTATATCAATTGATAGGCTATCTGGGGAAGCACAAGGTGTTGGAGAAGGTGCAACTCAAGGTACGCGTTAAAAATCTTTTCTGATTTGTGGAAGTTATCCATTCTGTATCAGAATTTGGATCCTTTGTTATAAGTGTATGCTCCCTCTTCTTCACATATATCTGAAGTTCATGCATCACCTCCTTATTTTCCTTGTATTGGTGTTTATCATTATCTCTAGTATTTTTCAAAAGCAGAGGCTTCAAATTGCAAATATCAGTCACAGTGAAGAGAGCAGACGCGGTCCTAATTGATGCTCCATCAGAATTGTTGACGAATGTGCCCTCCCCTGGAAAGGGATATGAGTTTTCTGTAAGATTTAGGTTTGTATGCCTGCTTATCCTTGATCAAAGCACTTTTCTTGTTCCCTCTGCGTAAATTCCCTGTTGAATTTAAAGAAAGTCAAATTGAAAGAGCATCTTTTAAGTTGATTTGATGGGAAGTGAAGACTTCCCTTTGTATGTTTGTATGTCTCTTTATCTTTTTCTTGTTTCCTCTTTGGAAATTTCTTATTGAATTTAAAAAAATTAAATTGATAGGTCGCTTTATTTTTAGTTGATTTGATGGGAGGTGAAGACTACCCCTCAAACAGATTTTTCAGGAGCGGATATTCATTACCATCACCTATGAAGAATACCTCAATATTTAAAAAAGAGAAATACCAGCGTACAATCTGATGTGCTTTGGAAGAGAGTATTGCCCAAATAAAAGACAACTATAGACTCACAAAAACTCAATGTACTTGAGGGTATTAAATTGAGTCTCTAAGTGTGCCTGTTTGTTGAATGAGATACCAGAGATCCTCCTTTGGAGATAAAACTTCAGCATACCCTGGAAAATTAAGTAGAACCACAAATGGAATGATGTTTAATCAGCATTTGAAGAAAGAGTGCAAATTGAAGCCTTGGAAGAGAAATCCTTTTTAATTGCCAGACAATGTGGAGAATATTGAGGAAAAACACATTGAGCCAATCTGCCCATGTAACCTATCTTTTTGGCCAAAAAGAAATCACTCAGGATAGAAACAAGCAGATTCTCATGAGACAAGAAATCTACTCTTTCCACGACCTTATATCCCAATCCTTCTAGATAGATAGTTATGTGGAATCATATTCTGCTCATCAACTATGATCTTTTGTCAACTAGAACAGATGCTCTCTCTCTCTCTCCTGTTGGTTGTGTAGTTGGTGTGTACTAGGGTGGTTGTGTGGTTGGTGTGTACTAGGGCTTGTATTAAAAAAATTTAACATCTTTTACTGATTTCTGCTATCATGCGCAAAACCTTACTTATGTGACCCCTATTCTCCTCTGGTAAATACAGAAGAGAGAGGAACACAAAAAGCAAATAACACTCTAGGATAGCTTTGCTACCGCGTTGAAGAACAAGCCATGGAGTATACATATGATCAATGTTATGTAAGGTAGAATTCAGCAGAAAACAGACAGGGCACCTCCCGATAAAGTTTCCTTATCTCAAGAACTATTCATGGGTTTTCGCTGAGATTTTACAAGAAGAAAGTAGTCTCAAAAACAAAGAAAATAGGCATACCTTGCACGAGGAGAAGTAGTTGTCACGTGAAAAACCAACAGTTTGAATACAGCTGATTTCTGCAGTCAAAAACAGAAAACAGATTTGTTGCCTGAGGTACCTTTCTAGGACCTCTTACACACCTATTGTTTCCCTAGACCAATGGCACAGCTAGTTTGTAGGCAAATATCTCTTCTTTAAGTAAGTTGACGTTGCGTTACAGAGAGAGGCACATGTTGATAGAAGAAAGAGCAACAAAAACTTGACTCACATCTCTCTCAAAATAGTACTTTAGAAAGCAATAGCCTTTCCCCTCTCTCTCTCTC